TAGATTAATTTGGTATAAATATCTCATTTTTGAATCTGAGGGTCGAAACCCACTTTTTCCTAGAACAGCCCCCATATACAAATACCCAAACCAACAATGGATATGGATATTGAATCAAAAATTATTAATAGAAATTTATATAGTATATAAATAAAATAAAAATATCTAAAACAAAGTTCGTTACAATCAGTGTTGTGACCCGAAACTCTGAGTTTAGGAAAAACCAGAAACAGAAACTAACAGAAACCACCCGAAACTAGTTTAGGTTAGTAGTTTATGTTTGTGTTTAGGTTTAGGTTTAGATTTCTGCTTAGTGTAAGTTCATTTTCCGAAACGTTTCGGGAAGCCAAAAGAGTTTCTGGTCACAACACTGGTTACAATGGCTCCTTTCAGCTCTAGTTATGTAATAATAATTATAAAATTACTGCAAAACAATGAATCTTACCAACCGATAGTGAGGTTGACTATTTTTAAAGTTATGCTTGAGTAATGTTTTTGTAAATTATTATAATAAAACATGGAAAATAATAGTGATTATATAAAAGTAATATTGACAGAAAAACAATCATTGGTAATAAAAATAATTTCCCTACAAAGGTAAATACAAATATTATTGATACAGTAATTTGGAAACATTTAACGGAATCATCACTCTACATAATGCAAATATAGTTCTGGCTTTTAAATTTTTTTCAACTTAAAGCAGTAAAGATAGATCAATGATTTAATGGACTGTAGATTTCGATAATGGGACTAGGTAAATGTATTAAATATATCCTGAAAAACATGTTTTTCAGATAATTCCATCAGTGAAGGAAAGGATCTAGTAAAATTCCGGGATAAGCATCATAGTAAAATCAATCAGTGCCCATAGTGTGGAACCACTGCAGAAACAACACAATATTTTATGTGTAGATTTGAAACTTTACTAAATAAATCCCCAAGCCTCTGGCTATCTTTGTAATTTAAATTCATAAAAATAGCTCCAAAATGAATTTAATAACTCCATAACAATTTCTGTGATGATCACCATTACCATTTAAATAAATAATAATAAAAACAATAAAACTGGCCTAGCCGAAGAATGTCCCAAAAAGTAAATCAGAGTTTCAAGGAGTGAAGTGATTTCTTAAGAATTAAGAATAGGGCAAGGACAAGGACAAGGACAAGGACAAGGACAAGGACAAGGATAATGACAAGGATAATGACAATGACAATGACAGTGATAATGACAGTGATAATGACATAGAATTATCATTAGGATAAAATAATTTTTTGGGAATAAATTTTTTACTTTCGTTGGGGAAACAACTGTTGGTGAAGTGATTGTTGACAAAATGAATCAAACCAACATTTATTTTTACATTATCAAATTCACGATTAGTCAACAATTGCATGGGTTAAAATTTTGTTACCTGTTCTTGTTCCTTCATTCAAACAAATAATTGTTCACAACACAACACTATTTGGAATGTAATTGTTTTTTGTATCAATACTTAATAAACGTTCTGGTCTTGGGATAATTCTTGTTATTATTTGCAATTATACCGGCTACGGTGTTTGAGATTCGACTACGCCTTAACAAAAACTAATTTTTAGAAAATCTGGTCCAAATTAACGCATTTTGGATTATTTTTAAGGTTCATTTAAGTTTTTTCTAGCATACATATTAATATTTTATTTATAGAAGGTATTTCGACTCATATTATTATTATTATTAATTATTATTTAACTCTTTTATCGAACATAACTTTATTTCTTTTCATTCCCCATTTATATTGACACGTAAATCTTGCTTTTTCAAATTATAATAAACACTTATTGTGTATGATTTTGATTTATTTATTTTTGCTTCATATCTTGTAAAATAAACATTATTGTTTGCACGAGAACCTTATGCAATGTAAAATTATAATAACCAATAATAAAAAATAAAAAATAAAAGTAAAAAGAAGAGTACAATTTATATTATTACAACCAAAAATTAAAGTAATAAATGAAGCTATCAAAGAGCTAAAGAGCAAGTACAGCCTTATTTCTTATTTAAAATAAAACAAAAACCAATCAATAGTTAGTATGTTTCAAAAACAATGATATTGACTGTAATGAAAATACTTACTTCCTATTTATTATTTAAAATAAAACAAAAACCAATCAACAGTTAGTATGTTTTCAAAAACAATGATATTGACTTAATGATAGTGTAATAATGAAAATACTTACAGTCTATTCATTATTTAAAATAAAGTAAAAATTAACAGTTAGATGTTTTTAAAAACAATGATATTGACTTAATGATAGTGTAATAATGAAAATACTTACAGTCTATTCATTATTTAAAATAAATCAAAATCAATCAACAGTTAATATGTTTTCAAAAACAATGATATTGAATGTAATGATAGTAATGATGGTAATGATGAAAATACTTACTTTCTATTTATTATTTAAAATAAAACGAGAATCAATCAACAGTTAATATGTTTTCAAAAACAATTGACTATAATAATAGTAATGATGAAAATACTTACGGCCTATTCATTATTTAAAATAAAGTAAAAATTAGCAGTTAATATGTTTTCAAAAACAATGATATTGAGTGCAATAATATAATGACAAAAATACTTACATTCTATTCATTATTTAAAATAAAACGAGAATTAATCAACAGTTAATACGCTTTCAAAAACAATTGACTATAATAATAGTAATGGTGAAAATACTTACAGGCTATCCATTATTTAAAATAAAGAAATAAAGTAAAAATTAACAGTTGGATGTTTTTAAAAACAATGACATTGACTTAATGATAGTGTAATGATGAAAATACTTACAGTCTATTCATTATTTAAAATAAAACAAAATCAATCAACAGTTAATATGTTTTCAAAAACAATGATATTGAATGTAATAATATAATGATAAAATTACTTACGTCCTATTCATTATTTAAAATAAAACGAGAATCAATCAACAGTTAATATGTTTTCAAAAACAATCGACTATAATAATAGTAATGATGAGAATACTTACTTTCTATTTATTATTTAAAATAAAGTAAAAATTAGCAATATATTTTCAAAAACAATGATATTGAGTAATGATGAAAATACTTACGGCCTATTCATTATTTAAAATAAAACAAAATCAATATCAATCAATAGTTAATATGTTTTCAAAAAAAAATGATTATATAAAATAAAATAAAAATTAACAGTTAATATGTTTTCAAAAATAATGATATTGATTGCAATGATAGTAATGATGAAAATACTTACCCACTACTCATTATTTAAAATAAAATGAAAACCAACAGTTAATATGTTTTCAATAACAATGATATTGAGTGTAATGGATAGTAATGATGAGAATACTTACTTTCTATTTATTATTTAAATAAATCAAAAATCAATCAACAATTAATATGTTTTCAAAAACAATGATATTGAGTGTAATAATAGTAATGACAAAAATACAAAAATACTTACAATCTATTTATTATTTAAAATAAAGCGAGAATCAATCAACAGTTAATATGCTTTCAAAAACAACGGTATTGACTGTAATAATAGTAACTTACCAATCTATTTATTATATAAAATAAAATAAAAACCAATAATTAATATGTTTTCAAAAACAACGGTATTGATTGTAATAATGGTACAAAAATACTTACGGAACTATTTATTATATAAAATCAAACGAAACCCAATAGTTAGTATTTTTTCAAAAATAACGATATTTGACTATAATTAAATGAAATACCTCGCTTCTTCAAATTATTGTTATCATTCATTGGACTTGCTAGAACAACAACAGCAAAGATAGCCAAAAAGAGAAGAGAAATATTGAATTTCATTTTAATTTGATCAGTTAATTCTTAGCAAATTTTGGGTTTATTTTTTCAAATTGTATGCAGTTAAAGAATTTATAAAAAATTTATAGTAAACCAGTAAACCAGTTATTTTAGAATTTTGGTTATTCTTCACAATCACAGATAAATGGATCCTTTAAATATTTAATTTTGATGTTAATTAAACAAGAAATTGATTGTCGTATATCATACATAAAGTGAATAAGATAACAACAGAAAAAGAACGATTATTTACCTTTAGCCGCGTATTGAAGATAAACGGAAAGGATCGACATCATTATAATAATCATAAGAAAACTAATTAATACTCAATCGTTTTTTAATTGTAGAATGACAAAAACACCCCACTTTAATTATAAAACTTGTTACAAATATAAAATCATTCTTCCATTGAAAAATGATTTTTTATTTTTTCAGTCAGTAGAGATTCCGTACAACTTCACTATTTATTATTATTTTTAATTTTTGTACGGAATTTGTGAATTCTGAAAAGTTGATTGTTGGAGGTCAGTCTGTACGATCTTCGATATTTTGTTCCATACAGAGCATGATTTACTACAGGGGTACAGATGTACAGAATATGGAACTTGTATAGACTCTTATTTTTTTTATATATATAAAGAAAAAAATTGGCGGGAGCTTTATTAAATGGTCTCACAACTTCCAAACTACATATAAAATTTCAGTCTTTTAGCACTGATAGATCTCAAATAATAATAAATAAAAAATTTCTGATTAATT